GATATTGTCTTCCAGGTATGCCCATTCCAAGATTATATATTTATAGAGTTTTACTACTACCTGTAATTTCTTCGTACGAATTGTTGCTGAATCCGTTAGTAAATGTGTTGTTCTAGAAATTTAAAGTAGATGTTGGAGTCTCTAGGGTTTTAGATGTGGTGGAAAAGTGTCAAGATTACTCCATCTCCATCCTCTAGATTTTTTCCAAGTGCTATTCTCGACACTTCAGAAGCTTTTATGTTATCTATGTGCTCATCTCTAGACGAGATTTCTTCACCAGAGGATCTCTTTTGTGTTAATTTGACCTTATGCAAGTTTACAGACCTCGATTCATCATTTCTTACAACTAGCAACAATATCTATCATAGAATCGAAACACTAGTAGAATGAGAAAATGCAATAAAAAATTTGCACCTTCAATCTAGATTTGCAAGAAGTCAGACTTGTAGTTTCACACATCCCATTACATTATGCTTTTTGGTAAAATAAGTAATTTAAGATTCGAACAAGCACTTGAATGATATAAAACCCACCCAAGACTTGTCCTCTATATTCCAAAATTAGTCATGGCAGAACTTGAAGCTTCCCATATTTTCTGGAGTTCTTGAAATTTCATTTACTTGTTGAACATCAAGAATTCCAGACCGGGGCTATTTTTGTGTACTTCTTTAGTGTTTCGGCAAGCGGGATTTCAGGCAAGCCCCTGTGATACAGGAAAGGGCTATGATATAAATTTACTGTGATCTTTGTAGTTCATTCCATTTATATATATCATCGTCTTAGTATGAAGTCATAACAATCAGCATTATCACACTTCTCAAAAATTACTCCTTATCGGTTGGGTCAAAAAGGAAGATGAAAATCTCATAATTGTTCTTGATGAAAATCTCATAATTGTTCTTGATGAAAATCTCATAATTGTTCTTGATGAAAATCTCATAATTGTTCTTGATGAAAATCTCATAATTGTTCTTGATGAAAATCTCATAATTGTTCTTGATGAAAATCTCATAATTGTTCTTGATGAAAATCTCATAATTGTTCTTGATGAAAATCTCATAATTGTTCTTGATGAAAATCTCATAATTGTTCTTGATGAGTATGGACATAATTGTTCTTGAAAATCTCATAATTCTTCTCAAAAATTACTCCTTATCAGTTAAGCTAATCCTTCGTTGTTTGCAATTCTAGCATTTTACACGAGGGAATTTCCAGACTAATTTGAATACATGTGGAACATTCATGTCTGGAATTCTGATGCCATGTTTCTTCTGTTTTTTGTTGATGTATTTCTTGAACATTTTACTGTCTGTTGGCTATACATACATCCCCTCTTGGAATTTTTCTTGCACCTCCATGTTGTGTGTTGTAAGAGATGCAACAAAAGGTTGTCATTTTTTGATAGAATTTCTATACCAATGTTATTACAAGTAAGCATGTGGTTAACATCAGTTTCTCATCAAAGTTAATATAAATCCCGAGATAAAAAATTCCAAAACCATGTTTGCTGTCATTTTTAGTAAGAGCGAAAATTGTGTGAATCTTAATTTTTTTGTAGAAAGGTAGTTTTGTCCCTAAGTAGATAAGTTTAGGTGATTTATATCTATTACACTTTAACCCTTTTTTTTTTAAGGCTACCACTTTTAATCATTCACTGGCTTCTGAGAAAGTTTTTTTATTTTTTATTTTTTAAGTTTCTTGCATTTTGTTTCTAAATATGTCGTGTTAATGGTAAAAATTATTGTTCTTCATATATTGAATCGTTAATAATGAAAAATTATATTCTCATATTTAGTTTTGACCTAATCTTTTACTAAATTTATAGTCGGTTGAATAAAATATTTTGATTATTACATTAAAACATTTTGTAGGGGCCATACAAAGAGTTTTGGATAAAAGAGCATCCTTCAATTCAAATTGCAACAAGGTAAGTTCGTAAATCCAAGTACCCCATCATCAAGTTGTTTTACAGTGTGTGTTTATATTCTCATAATCAAGTGATTTATTTGGGTTGGTGCTTCGATGTCTCTATGTGTTTATGTATATGAGGATATAAATAGCATTTCATAGTAAATGGTGTCATTTATTGGATTTAATGTAACTACATCATAAATGGAGGAGACTGGAACTTGTATGTGCAAAAGAGAGTGTACTGCATGCATCTTTTAGCCTAGTTAATTGAAAAAATCTATTAATTTTATAATTGAACTTTTACGTTGCATTTTTTTTCTTATTAGGATGGTTCGAAGTGTCCGGAAGTCGACACATTTGAGTTCGCTTATGCTAGGAAGAACAAGTATTGGACTTGTAATGCAGCTAAAGCTCAACATGTAAGAAATACTCAACATTATAAAATTGTTTTTTAATCATGTTTTATCTACCATGTTAGACACAAAATATATATTGCAAAGTTAAATTAAAAAAGGCTAGAAAATTACAATTAGATTAAGTAGGATGACAATTTTTGTATGTTATTCATGGGGCTATTTCGGAAACTGACACTATCATGGTCAAAATGTTTTTGAGAGATGATTATATTTCTTAGCTTGTGCTATGTCTCTTGTGTGCAGTTGTGTTATCTCTTGCAAACTTTGATTTTATAGACTGTTTTATATATCTTGTTGGTATATTTGTAGGATGAAATGCTTGTCAAAGAGCATGAATATCTTATAGAGAGACAAAGGATTAGCAACTTCCTGAAGATATCCCTTTGGAGGAGATAGCGATAGATGATCCTGATGCCGAAATTGATATCATGATGTTCGTTCTAGGCACGAAGCCCAGGCACCAAATTCTTGGGTTAGAAGATGGTCGCTTTCGAGATATTAGGATATCTTCTTCCAATGTACACAATTTGGGGAAGAGTTGGAAGCAGAACATGTTGCTCGAAAGGTAGTTGATGCGGCTCAAGTAAACATGGAGCAAAATATGCAAAACAAGCTAAAGGTTGTTGAGCAACAATTCAATTCTATATTACAATCTTGGAATCATTCTATGCACCAACTATGTGATAAAGTTCCTGACTTCATTGTACCACCATTTATACCATTACCAATAGAGAATAATGGTAATGAGAAAGATGATACTATTGAGGATGAAGAGAATAACTTTGATGAGAATCAGTGCATGTCTAATTCACGAGATTGAAGAGTCATGTTTTTTATTTGCATAACAATAGATATATAGCATGTTTGCTCTGCTTATTTTAACTTTAAATGTAATCATACTTGGTGAAACTCATTTATTCGTGTTTTGATGAAATATTTTGAATTCAATGTTGATTGGAATTACTTTTTAATTGATTTATTATGATTTTTATATCGTTATATTATTTTGAATGAGGTTAAAAAAAAAATTAGTATAATATAAATAAAAAATAAAAAATATAGAAATAGTTTAATTTCTCCCTACAAATTCTTTTTTAATAGCTCACAAATATCCTTTCCCCACTAAAAATTATTTATAGAAAAATAGGGTTCAGCCCACAAAATAATTTGTTCCGTGTTGTCACAAACTTTTAATTGTAGGGAAACATGTTTATGCTTGGCCCACAAAAATTTTTCACACATTATTATTTGTGGGGACGAACAAGATTTTGCCCACAAGATAATTTGTAGGGACAAGCGAAATCGCTTCATGTGTAGAAGTAACTTTAGCAGACGAATTAATTTGTCGGACAAAAACTTACGCAACAAATTGTATTCGTCTCCAAAGGGTTTGTAGGGAAAAACCTTAGCCCACAAACTTTAAAAATTTGTCGTCTTATACCTATTCCTTCGATGTTTACCCCACAAACGTGCCTACAAATTTTTTTCCTCTGCAAAGGTATTTCCCCACAAATAAGAGTCTTTCCCCACAAATAATTTTTGTAGGGAAAATATAAAATTCTTGTAGTGTAATCTCTTCCTATCCAAAAATGATGAATCATCTATTGATCATTCATAATCTTCATATGATTCTTAACATACATGAATATCGTATTAGCAACCCTTGATATAGAGACATTTAACATCACCAAAGTATGATTGTTCTTATATGAGTCACTATGATGATCTCAAGTCAAAGAACTAATTTCACTACCGAATGTTAGAAATTAACCACTGATATAAATATCTATACAAAATCTCTCCAACAAGTATCCAATGTTTTGTTCTTATAACAAGATATTCACTTATTCGTTTGATTATCACCACACTTTAACTTATGAAATCAACTGTTTACTTCACAAGTAAAAAAATGTCACATGTGATTGTTCGTCTGTAATAACGATATATGTATCTCCTTGTTACTTGTGATCATAAATGATTTAAGATTCAGTCATATGCAATTTATCTACAATCACAACTTATAATTAACAAATTGTTAAGACTTGAAATACTAACTCTATTTAGAATAATTTATTAAAATAGTAATTCAAATGAATAATAGATATTGCCATAAGTAAAATATATTAATCATGTTAAAAGAGTTTTAAGTCCAAAATTAATTGGACATAGGATATAAAACTTATATTTGTATCCCCACGAAGATGTTTTCTGTAGCAGCACACGACCAACAATATTATTATACATTCATAGGCAGGACACATCTTCAAAAACATCAACATACAGGATTATGACATGTCACACTTTCATGTGTTGTTGTAATTTCACAAGTGACCAACAATATTATTTCACATTCATAGGTAGGACACATCCCTATTCAAATACATCAACATATAGGATTATGAGATGTCACATTCATGTGTTATTGTCATCTGACAAGGACACTATAGTTCAACTACAGAACCGCCTACCAAAAAATAAATAAATAAATAAATAAAATAAAGAAAAAAGGAATGCATATACACCAGAACAAAAAATAAAAATAAAAATAAAATCCCAACAAATAGAATATAATGATGTGATTCATTTCACTAGATGATTTATTTTTCCATGCATATCCACCAGATTAGTGATGTTAATTGTTAGAAATACAAAGTATCAAACTTTCGATGGAGGTAATAATACACATATCTCACTTAGCAGACACCTTTAGAATAGGATCAGATAAATGTTCGTTATATTATCTTTAATTGTGAAACATTTGACAAGAAAATCAGAGATACCCAATTCTGGAAAGGCATGGGAAATCAGTTTCTCTAATCAAATTAAGGAAATGATGATTCTTCTAAAATTTATTAACCCCAAAAACACTTTATTACTCAACGATACGTCTATCGTTCTCCATTGAGTGTTTGAAATATCCTCTGATCTTGGATGAAATAAATGTAGAGTGATGCGTGGTCTTGTTTAAATTTCAGTTACAGGAATAAAATGAAAGTAATTAATAATTATAAAAAGGTATATGTAATATAAATATACATTTTATATAGTATTAATGATGTTTAATTTGCAAAGTTGCATCGCTCACCTCAGGGGCGGATCCAACCGTTTTGAGTTGTGGGGTCAAAAATTAAAGCCGTACTACAGAGCCCACTTGAATGACCGTGGGATTGATACAACACACACACACTTGAAAGTGAGATTATTTTATTCATGGAGATACCGCTGGGCATGTGAGAGCACGATCACTTGCAAGGTCATCCTCACGGGTTCTGCTTAGCTCCAAAAATTAATGTGTAATTTTTTAAAATAATATAATACTTATAAAAATAAGTTAATACGCATTTTGACATCTTGAAAGTGTCTTATAATTCTATCATTATCAATATTGTTAAATAAATTTTGCTACATGTATAGTTTTGTTTACCATGTTATTTTTGAATGTTGAGCTAACGACGAGTAAATTAAATTGGATGTAGGAAGTAAATGAAATTTAAGTTTAACGAAAAAATAATTTAAAAGTAATTCAAATTACATTAATCCGTAACGATTTTAGAATTTTTGACATCATTTTTAATGTAAAATTTCCTAATAAAATGATGTAAATTATATTGCAAAATTTATTGTGAAAAAATAATAAACATTAATGAAATAATTGATTTTTTTTAAAAAAAGACAAGTTAAACACCTCTTTTAATACGTATGTTTGAGGAATATTTAACAATTTTCGATATCTGTTTGGGCCATTCGATATGACTACAATATAGTTTTCAAAACGAACTTCTAGATGATGCAAGCGATTTGTAGATTTGGATAGTATACGATCATCGACAAATTTTAAAAGTTAACACATTATCGAAATTTTTGAAATACTGATCTGAAACGGCTTACTTTGATACATCGTAACTTTTGCTATGGTTGATCATTTCGCACACAATAAAGAAGCGAAAAATTAGGTCATGAGCACTTAGAAATGATATTAATAATATAATATTTCGATTTCATTTAGTATGTATTAAAGTGGGTCGAAAACGGGTTAAGACAACCATTTTCTGAAAAAAAAAAAAAAAACCAAAATTTTGTGGGGTCATTTAACCCCATGTGGGTCCGCCCCTGGCTCACCTGTCGGAATCTTTTTTGCTTTAAAGCACATGATTTTCATCCCTATTTTATCCCAAACACTTTTTCCTATAAATATTTGACCCATGGACATCCAAAATGAGTTGAATCATATTACTCCATAGAGATAGTTCTTTGGAGATCTAAATCATTATTCCTTGATCTCTAAATTCAACCATCATATCATTGTGTTCATAAAATCATTTCCAGCCAAGATATTTCTTTGAAACATAAATTATTTCGTTAATTTAGATATGCATTGAGCCATATATTTTCATATCCTTAGACATTAAACCATTGATCAAGACAAAAAGATCGTTTGACCAAACACCAACCTAAAGAATGAGGAATTCTTCATTTAATCCATCGGAGATAAATCGATGTAGGGATCTGGAGCTATTGCTGAAGTACAAATTTAGGAGAACTAAAATGAGGTACCAGGAGTCAAAATCGGGTGTCAGGAGCACGCAGTTCATGAGGGCTAAGTTATAAATCAAGAGTGAAAATTTGTTTTGATGGAGCATACCTCTAGTAGGATCAATGGAGATTGCAAATATTAAGGTCAGAAGTTCTATGAGGTAGACGAGTTTGGACCATACTGTAAGTTTACTTTGATTTATAGTGAATTACTGATTGGCCAAGTGTCTTGAGTTTTTACTCATTTCAAATTTCTTCATGATCATCATTGGTGTTCTTTACTGCTTTAATTATTGATTGTGGCATTCAAACTATAAGATAATTGAACTTGATTGACTAATCACCTAGAAACAATTAAAAGTGATTGTTGCTTTGCTTATTTTCGCACGTTGGGTCTAAATAAATAGACTAATTAAAACTTTCTAATGGTATCAGAGACTAAATTTGATCCTTGAACCTATTAGTCTAAATGAGTCGGTCATTATCCATTCCTCCTTATTTCGATGGTAGTAATTACGGCTATTGAAAAGTCATAATGAGAACTTTCCTTAAGTCATGGATGAGCAGGTTCAGGTGAGTGTTCACGATGGTTGAACTCCCCTATTGCCACTATTGTTGGTGTAGTTACCCCTATCGATATTTCTACTTCGTCTAAGTAAAATTTTGGTTAGCGTAACTGGAATAGTAAAGCCCTTCATGCTTGATGTGTGAGACTGCTAAAGAAGTTTGTGATATTCTAGAAATTACACATGAGGGAACCAAAACAGTTAAGAACTTAGTATTCATGCTAGATTTGACGAAATTAGAATGAAAGATGATGAGTCTTTTAATGATTTCTATACTAAATATAGCCAACTCTAGCTTTAGTGCACGTTTGATTTTGATTTTTCACCTTGAAAAATTAATTTTTTGACTGTTACTTCCCTAAGTCAGCCATCATTTTTTACTTCTTCTCTCACAAGTGAGATCAACTTTTCTCTCTAACAATCAAAATGTTAATTCTTATAATCGCTACTAAACAAGCCCTTAATTTAGGTAAATATTTACAAAATAATGATTTAGATTTGTATTCGTAAGTGACGGTTCGTAACAAGTAATAAAGTGAAAAATGGAATCTGAATGTCATCCCACAGAGATTGAGTAGCTTAACTTTATCTATCTCAGTCTTAACCGAAACTAAATTATCCAACAAGATAATTGAGACTTGATTAACCCTAACCTAGATTAAATATGCAATTGTATGTGAATTTGATGAACTATAATGCAAAGTAACATTTTCAATGCAAGATTGATGTAATTAATGAATGTAAAGCGATTAGGATCATGAATCCCAAGCAATGCTCACTCTTAACCCTAGTTCCACGGATTAACAACACGTTGAATTTTTGAAGAATCAATACCCCTTAATCTATCCAACAA